AAGGGAGGATCGTCCGCCTTCAGTCTGTATCACTGCCAATGGAAAGCATCTATAAAACGTAACTAGCACTATTCCGTTCTGACATGAATGAGCTTTATTGGTTGATACAGACATATAGCAGTTTCGTCGTTAATGTTTGCGAGCTCCTGTACATGGCTCCGATAGCCTGCTGGATGCCTATGCATGCACATGCATGCATGCATGCATGCATGCATGCATAGGCATGAAGAAATGTAGACCAGCAGGCGATTCATATGCATATGTCGAGTAATAAGTACAAAGGTGGGCATCACATCCTAAAGCACCTGCCTGTACATGGGGATGTACATGTGCCACATGGGTAGGTTCAAGGCCTAGGTGGGCGTCTCATTTAATCGGCTGTGTAATTGGTTGGCTAGAGTTATGTAGGATTTCTGGATGGGGTAGCTATAGCTATGCATGCTAGCCGACGATGTTATTGTGTAGTACGCTACATTTCCCTCCAAATATTTTAACGATTATTAATAACAACACCTGTTAATTCCGTTGACGATTCGACTCAAGTTCCGTACATGTACATGTCACACAATATCATGACACGGACATATCGGATGTTCGTAGCGACACCTAACAGGCTGGGGCCCCGGGCCCCATCGACAGTATCCTAGTACAGTACGACAGGACCGTAGTAGAGATTCGTCCGGCAGGTAGGCCAAGATATAAGCTACCCGGGCGGGGTGCTCTGGCCAGGCACTTCAGTATCACGACTGCTTGGTGTTCGGAGTCCAAGACTCTGCTGCCACCGTCTTAGTTGCTTCGATCTTGTCTATGTAAGCTAGTGCCTGTCGCTGGGTTGGACTCCTTCCCGCCTCAGCAAGGCCCCTAAGCTCCACGCTTCCGCAAGGTCAGTCGTGCCACCAGGCGAGCATCTGCCACGTGCTGCAATCTACTAGATCTGTAAGGATACAGATAGATGCTGCTATATGCCCTGCCTATGAGTTGGTAGCTGGATGGGCCAAGTGCGGCAGGGTAGGATTTTAATGTAGATAGAGCAGTAACCTCCGATGTTTGCACAACATGGATGTGGGGGGTTTATTCGCATCACAAATCATTCATGCGCACAAAA